CGAAATTCGTAACAGATAAAACTTAAACTGCGGGGGATGAAACCTTAAGTGCCGATTGTAGATCAGATTACAGTGGAGATCTCTTCAAAATACGAAGACGTAGAAAGGCAATGTGTAGAATTTATTTTGTACTTATGCACGTTTAAATTCTAGTCCTGAATTTAGATAAGAGCATAAACTCTGAATTCAGGTTATCTAAATTCAAACTTTGAAGCCGAAATTCTGCCCCTCCGCTTTAGCCTCATCTCCTAGCTAATTACTTCTTTGATAAATTGTTTAGATACTCACATCTACATTCAGAATCTTTATTCTTTACGTCAACCTTTCAGAAAAGTGAGGGTTTAATGACCTAGATCGACTGAGGACTGAGCATTGGCTACGGGAAAGGAGCTGTTAACGTAATTTTGTTTGTTTATTTACAAATAATCAACAATAAATTTACAACAATCGTAAATTGGATTAATTTATAACAGTAAATAACATTTATCATTCACAATTTATAACGTAAAAAGAGTGCATCGATGTTGAACCTGAACTGAATTTAATTACATACCTATATAGTAAACGACAATTGTTCTAGAATGTTCTTAGAAACATTCGGAACGTTCTAGAATAAAGAATTTTTCCTGGTAAGATTGCTCTTTACTCTTTATCTCCGATGATTAATCTTTCATTGGCGCCTCGATGTTTTTCGGGATTTCTGGAATATTCGTTACAGTGCCCCCTCTTAAAACTGTTGTGTCTCGCAACACGGACGACGGTTCTAGCGGATAATTGGGCGTAATTCACTTGCTGAAAAGACTTATTTCTATATCAAGTTTCTAACCGTGATACAATTTGCTCAAAATCTTGTTCCTGGTGTTCAGGACTCGTACGCAAAACGTCCTACGTGTCTCCACGTAACGCAGCTTCTATCCTGCTGTCCATCTAATTGTAGCAGCGGCGGCGACACCGTTATTTCGGTTTAAACGCCAAGAATAATGATGGAGTAAATCTGGGGGGTGGCGGTTATTTAGGAATAAGCACATAATTGTTTATTTCATTTGGGATTTTATTTTGGTACGAGCAGTCTTCTTTATTTACGTAGATTTGTTGTGTTCAATTGTAAAACGGGAAATTGCGTCAGGGACATCTGGTTGTGTGTGGTAAAACGTTTTGTTATCGAACGTAAGTTAATTAACGCTCGTGTTTTGGTGCTGATAACAAGAGAGCCACGTTCCTTCGTAGCTGGCGATATCTAATTTAATTGAAATTGCTGCATTTTTTTGAAAATACCGGAGGAAGGAGATTATTTTATTATGGAAATGGTGTCCCTTTAAATACTTGAGACAAGGTAAAAAGGGGGCTGCTGTTGTTAGTTCGCGACGGTTAGAAAGGGTACGTTTCTGCTATTTTTATTCGGGCGTTCCGTGTTGCCGATTTGATTAGTTGAAGACGTAGCTTGTATTTATTATTAAGCAAGTTAACAAAAGTTGTGGGAATTTTAAAGCGTGTTATCCGTATTCGGAAAAAATTAGTCAAGTTAAGTAGAAGGAGTTTTATGGCAAACATTTGGAAAAAAACTCTCAGTAATTTAAGATGTTTTAAATTTTTTCACTATCGACCGTCTGCTGCGGGGTACTATGCAAACATTTTCGGAAATTGAATGAAGCCACTGAGTCTCAATTTTTTTTTAAATTTAAACAATAGGGTTTTTCTTTACAACAGATGCCGGAAGTGTAGTTCCAAGTCTAGAAGTCTCAATTTTGATTTGTTTGACCTAGCTGGAAGGTATTTTGTGGAATACCTTAAAATTTTCCTATATATCGAATTGATTTCTTTGAGAGTTCCATCGTCCATCCCCAAATATCGAAAAACAAGCACTTCTTTTTTTGATTTCTTCTTGGCAACCAAAGCGGATAGAATATCTATGTTTTCGATTGTAAACAGGTTTTTTTGTTGACAGATAATGGTTTTAAACGATGATACGAATCGAAATTAATCAAAAATTAGTTTTTCAAAAATCAAAAAGAAAATCTAACTGCAATTTTACCGAGCCACATCATATAATTTGCGAGATGATCTGAATTCAGGGCCTGAAGCCACGAAGTGCCTAGGCATATGGATTTAAGAATACATAAAAGAAATATGTACTAAAATTACCATTTATAATTTTTTTTAACTACATCTGTTACGTTTTTTCAGGGTAATAAAGATTATTATTATTGTAATGAGAGGTATCTGCTTCTTTCCAACTTTTCCCTTTCGGTGAAATGTGAGAATAATCTAGAAATACCTGCGAAAACTACCTACACCTCTGAATTTTTTCGTTCTCTCGGTCTCTGGAAAAACTATTTTCCGACCTATTCAGTGATTTACATGTCTTTCTTTACATTAAATGTGGAAATTTTCTTTGATTAAGCCCAAAGGTATAAGTATAATCTTCATTTCTTTTTTAACGCTGATCTGGAGAACCGCTAAAACTGCTAAAAGTGCGGAAGAGGGTAAAAATATTTTGGGAGGACGCTTTGAGCAGCATCCAAAAAGCTCCAGGATGCTTTCCATAGTGCTCCAGGGCCTTATACGGAATTCCAGATTTCTTTATCGCATTGTAGAAATTTTCATAAAATATTACGCCATTTCGGGAAGGCCTAAACGCATAAACGACCACTTTTTAATACGAGCGCATATTAGAATTCACCTAGGTAAAACTTTTTTTGAAAGGGGGTATATTCAAAAGCGGTTTGATATAAAATAAAATAAATGAGAAAAATTGCATAGGTGTAAAAAAGACTTCAAAACAGTTTTCCAGAAAACAATCAGAGATATATTAAATTTTGAGTTTGGTTAATTTTATCTTTAATTACTATTTTTACTATAGTTGTTTTTGTTCATTATTTTAGTTTTTATAGTAATTTTTCTGGTTTTAGTGATGTTTACTTGATCGCCTCTATTATCTGTGTTAAATGTCCCGTAATTGGAAGTTGTTTTCTGTTGGGCATTACACTATTATTATTATTAAAATTAAAGACAAAGAGGGATTCAAGAAAACTATGAAATTGTGGAGACATTGAGAAATTCAATTGGTTGCGGGAGGGAAGGTCAACCACCCAACCCACAAAATTTCTTCTATAAAAACATTTTCACTTAATGCTTTTGGTGCTTCGTTTTGCTTATTGGATAATGACTGAGAAATGTTTTCAAAAATTGGAGCATTGGGCAAACAGTTAACAAGTTAAAAAGTAATCGTAAACGATTTACATAAAGCGCATTTCCACTTGCATTCATTTCCCATTTGTAAGATGCAACTTCTGAAAATCGTCAAAATCCGGCCACAAATATGAAAGATAGCGTTGCACATGGGCAATCCATTTTTGACGTGCTACTTCAATTTCAGTTTATAAGAAGAATTTCATTTCAATGCTTTTCTAAATAAGAAAGTTGGAACTGCGCATGCGCAAACCTAAATTTTGAAACTAATGTTAGATTTTCTTTTGTTCCAAGCGCCAAAGTATCAAATTTCACTTAAATGCTTCCATAGATAAAAAAAGTTGGCACTGCGCATGGGCAAAATAAAATTTTTAAACTGGCGCTAGATTTTCCTTCATTCCAAGCGCCTATGTATCAAATTTCGTTTAAATTCTTCCATAAATAAAAAAGTTCGCACTGCGCATGCGCAAAACCAAATTTTGAAACTGGCGTTAGATTTTCCTTTATTCCAAGTGCCTATGTATCAAATTTCATTCAAATACTAAAAAAAGTTTGCAATTCGGTTTATAAATGGCCGAGATGCGAAAAGGGCACTGTGAATTTTGAATCGATTCGACTCAACTTTTGGCATTGCGTATTATATGGCTAAGACTATGCCCATATTGAATTTCATGCAATTCAGTTCGTAACTAACGGAGATGTAAAAGCAAAGCAAAAGCAAACAAAATTATCGTGCACACGGACAGATAGAGGGACAGACAGGCACAGGAACAGACGGACAGACCAACAGACAGACGACAGACAACAATACAAAATTATAAATGATCTCTAGGATGGTTAATAAACGGCAAAAGTGTAAAATTATGGAACATGTAAAAAACGGTTTGTTGGTTTTTTTACAACAACTTTTTTAGCGATAAACGCAGAAAAAATTCCTTCCTTGGTGCAAGCCTCGACACCATAACAAACCAAATAGCGAAAAAAGTAGAACGATAGCTCTTAAGATAAAGAACTATAGTAGTAGCGTCGCAAATGTAGCGGACGGACGGACGGACGGACGGACAAAGTGGCCACAATAGCGCATTTTTTTTATTTTTGTGGAAATGCGCTAAAAAGCATCTATTATTGTAGTTTCGAGCTTACCGTGTAAAGGTCAATGATTTACTTACTGTCTTATTGTCTTCTAATCATGAATATTCGCTTGGAAGCATTAGGTGTTCCATGATATCAAGCCCCACAATTTGGTGAAAAAAAAATGTGGTGAAACACTTTCCTGATAATGTTGCATGAAAAGAATACGCATTCAAAATGTGGATAGAAATAATTTTGGTATGCACTTCGCAACGTTTTATACGTTTCGACCTATTTTCAGCTCGTTTTCACATTTCACCTGCAAAACGTCGGGAAACCTAATTATTCCTGCCGCAATTATTTACTGGATTAAGCACTTTTAATCCTCCGCAATGCATCCAATCTAAGTACTTACCTGTTCGCGTCCATCCATTTCAGTTTGAACTTCGCTTACGTATAATTCAAATATATACCTACATTAAATTTCCTTTTTTCTTGTTGCCATAATAAAGCTCTTAGGCTTAGGGACCACCTCGAATGATTAACTACCAAGTTAAAAGTCGATAAACAGCAGTTATTAAGTGTTTATTAAAGACAGCGGTTTAATATTAACTTTGATGGTAATCCCAGCGTAATTGCCTCTTTTTTCCAATCGCCTCGTCTCGTCTTGCACTTATTAATTTATAAAAAGCTGAAAAAAATTATCTGCTTACTAATGGTTTTCGAATTAAAATTACAACGCAGCTTCGATGTCTATTATTTACAAGATAAATATACTTAAACTTACATTGGCTTAAATATGTAAAAGGTTTTTTTTTCTAATCATCGAGAAAAGGTATTTACAATTTATTTTTTTTAATGAACACGACTTGCACACATTTCCATCGTACCGAAGTAGGGGTAGCCGGATTTCGCTTCGCCCGGCGAGTGGGCACCGTAGTGGCTTCCGGCGAAGAAACTGAAAACAGAAAGGAGCTTATTAATATTTGTGAATTACAAAGTGCTCATATGTTAGTTGCGCGAATTTCAAAACGCAGTGTCAGTTGTACTGAACAGTAACGGTCGTAATAGAGAGCCCTGCGGAATACCTCTGGCACGACATAAACTGAGTGAATTTACTAGAGTTACTGGGAAACGTAGAAAGATGGATTGCAGAAGGCAAATCTAATCCGTCCAAAAATCTCCCACCCATTTTTTCTCCCCTTGACTTTTAGAAGTACAGAGTTCTGCTCTTGCATTGCTCCATTTCTTTATACATTTTTGTTCTTCTGTTCAACATTCATACTATAGGCCCAAATGGAAATGGGCTTGCAATTCTAATTCCTTTAAAAAATATTTTGCACCTCCTCTTCCTGTTCCTCTTTCTTATCTTTTTGAAATAAAATGTTCAATCCATATAAACCTGTACACAAGTTCTGCAGAAAACTATTCATATTAGCGACTGATTCTTTCCAAAAAGAGTACTGAATCAGTTTATACCTCAAATGTCGAAATTATACATTTATTCGTGTTCCGCATCCAAATTTAAACGAACCAAAGCTGCCTACATTTAGGAAACAAAATTCGGAGCAATTGCAACGTTTAAAGTCGCCTCGATTGTATGATTGATGATGCAGGTACCCCTACATAGCCGTTACATCATTTTTCCATGTAAAAGCGGCATCGGTCCATACACAAAGTTATAATAAAAAGCCTAATACCGTATTATTTAGTCGTTGCACGATCTTCATATAGCATTCAATGATTGCGTACTTTGGTAGTAGAAATTTTATAAAAAAATTTAAATCTGCCTATGACCTGCCCCTTACCGGCCGTCCCGTACGAAATGATATCATTTTCGTATTGCAAGGACGAGGAGGACGTGTCTGCTCGACTGTATAATTGGCAGTTGCAGCAGCACTCAAAATAATACGGTAGTAGGTGCAATTAATTCGAGTCGGTCAGCTTAATGAAAGCTTACCTCATTTTACTTGACTTAAATATGGTTTGAGGTTATTTATTAAGAGATGTAATTAATTTGAGCAGTAATTCGATTTAATTGCCACTTCTGGGTGTTTGCGTTTTGGTAAATTTTATTTGCCAATCGGCCGGTCCCGAATATCTACGCGTTTTTAACAATTAAGATTGGGCAACGACGCTTCTAATTCACCATCCTAGTTTCGCTTCAAAAGTATCAGATATAATTAAACATTGAGAAGGTGCAATTAAGTGTTTGCAATTTATTTACTTAAATTATTGATCTGTTTTGTGTGTGTCTGTGAATGTATGCGTTATTACAGGTTGCTCAATTTTTAATTATACACTTAAAAGTGTTCTTTCTTTTACGAAATTTATAATTTTCTTAATACACCGTCTGGCATATCGTTTTAATGACATCTCCGAAAAGTTGAATTAAACCTTTCATTTATTTTTTCATTCCATTTCTTTATTTTTTAATTATCTAGTAAGTTATTTTTTACCGGTGATACATTGTCTTCTGTGTTCTTCTATGTCCATGTGTTATTAAGTTTCTTTTCCAATAATTCTGCAAATGCTGCGGTTTGTCTTTGTAGGAATCCCCTAGTTTATAAGTTTCCTATAATTTCGAGGGGATCTTTGAAGAGTATCTAAAAAATGTCTTAGGGATTCGTGAAGAATATCTGGGAATCTCAGACTAATTTCCTCTGGAATAAGAATAAGCTGAGAAACATGAAGAATTTGAAAAATTCTGTGAAACACAAGAAGTACCGTAGAAAAAAAATCGAAAGCATTTGCAAAGCCAGTAAAATTAGACCTGAAAGGACGCTCGCACGAAGTGACTGGAAATCATTTAAAAACCGTAATATAGTCTTCACAAGTAATCTGAGTTTGTACACCTCCAAGGGTTGAGCGTAACTTTCGGTGCTCAAAAATCTTCGACATTTTCGTACTTTCTTTAGTTTTCCACTAGTAACTCCTAAACAACGTATCCTAGCGAAAGCCCTACAAAGAGCCAAATTGAAGAGCACTAAATTTGCGTCGATTGACACCCCCAACTTTAAAACTGGACCAATTTATAAGGTACCTAGTAATCGACGGATAATTTTTCCCATATTCGCTAAATTGTACTATTTGACAACTTTCTGTCGTCTGTAGCATTCAAAGTACTAGTCATATCAAAACATTAGTTGGAAAATTCCAAAAAGAGTTTTGAAATATCCTAATAAATGTTAAAACTTTCTCGGCCTCTTTGACGTGGTTGGAGTCTCATTGTGCTGTATCCCATCATCTTTCATCTCTTCCATAAATTGGCTGCTAAGGTCCTCCTCTTCTTCCTCTAATGGATGATGGGTGGCGAATGCTTCTTCCCCAGCGTTGGAGAACGCCTGGACTTGCATTTTTAATAGAGAGGTCAGTCAAGCAGTCTTCCAGTCAGAGCTGGGCAGTATTAGATTTTGTAAATACTTTTTAGTATTCAAATCCTTTAAAGTATGCAAATACTTTGTAGTTAAATACTTTTATGGAAGCAGTATTTGTATTTGTAACTCAAATACTTTCACAAATATTTCGTATTCGAATACTTCGCAAAGTATTTGGATACTTCGTAAAGTAAGTATTCGAATATTTCGCAAGGTATTTGAATACTTTGAGAAGTATTCGAATACTTCGCATAGTATTTGAATATTTAACCTTCCTTTTTTACCAAAAATCGACTACTCCAAAATTTCTCGGGAATACAATTTTTTCTTATTAATTTTGGTGCGTAGAATCCAAATCAATTCGTACTTTTTCGATTAGACCTCTCAATAAAAAGTTATGGACAAAAAACCAATTTCGAAAAAAAATTCAAAGGGCTGTAACTTTTGATCTAGTAGCCCAATCTTCAAACTGTTTGAAATTATGGATTCTACAGGCCAAATTCTATAAGACAATGTTTTTTTCCGGTCGATCTCAGACAATTTTTTTTCCGGCCTCAAAAAAAGGCAGTGTATAACCTTCCTTTTTTACCAAAAATCGACTACACCAAAATTTCTCGGGAAAACACTTTTTCTTATTAATTTGGGTGCGTAGAATCCAAATCAATTTGTACTTTTTCGATCAGACTTCTCAATCAAAAGTTATAGACTAGAAACCAATTTCGAAAGAAAATTCAAAGGGTTGTAACTTTTGAACTAGTAGCCCAATCTTGGAACTGTTTGAAATTATGGATTCTACAGGCCACATTCTATAAGAAAATTTTTTTTTCGGGTCGATCTGAGACAATTTTTTTTTCGGGGCTCAAAAAAAGGCAGTGTATAACCTTCCTTTTTTACCAAAAATCGACTACACAAAAATTTCTCGGGAAAACACTTTTTCTTATTAATTTTGGTGCGTAGAATCCAAAACAATTCGTACTTTTTCGATCAGATTTCTCAATCAAAAGTTATAGACTAGAAACCAATTTCGAAAAAAAATTCAAAGGGCTGTAACTTTTGAACTAGTAGCCCAATCTTGAAACTGTTTGAAATTATGGATTCTACAGGCCACACTCTATAAGGAAATTTTTTTTCCGGGTCGATCTGAGAATTTTTTTTCGAGCCACAAAAAAAGGCAGTACTTTTAAGTTATTCAAATATTTGAGAACAATTTAGAAATGTTTAGGGAAAGTTTCCATTGTCACAAAATCAAATATAAAAATCCGATACATCTGAATACCGAACTCGATAGTCTACGTAACTTAAAAACAATAGGGGCCTTTCTTATATCCTTAAGACCATGTGTACCAATTTTCAAAGCGATCGCACGTTTCTAAACAAGTTATCATGCACACGGACAAACGGATGGTCAAAAATGGATCTGTTCCAAAATCGCTAGGATTCATTTCAGAAAGGCGTACGTATCATGTGCACGACGTACGATCGCTTTGAAAACTGGTACACGTATTCTTAAGGATATAACTGGTATAAGAAAGGTCCTGGTAGGTACCTCCTATATAATAATATAATAATAATAATACGCTTTTACTCCCCTTAAATTTGTATATAACAATAGAAATATAAAAAAAGTTAACCCCATACAAAGTATAACTTGATTTTTTAAGTAGTATTAACACTTTTATCTAGTATAATACCATTTTAAATTTTTAATGTATTTGAGTGACAAGTATTCGAATACTTTTTATAGTATTCGAATACCTTTGATAGTATTAGAATACTTTTTAAAGTATTCGAATACGTTTGAAAGTATTCGAATACATTCAAAAGTATTTGAATACTTATTTTTTAAAGTATTTGAGTACTTTTCAATGTATCTGTATCTAGTATTCGCTTGTGCTGGACGTAAAAGTATTTAGTATTCAAATACTTTTTGAAAGTATTCTGCCCAGCTCTGCTTCCAGTTACAAGCAAAGAGATTCAAAAAATGAATCTTTGGGGTATTTTATATTTGAGTAATGAAATTTCGTTGCAAATTTTCAATGGTTAATCCTTCCAAGCATTTTTTTTTTTTTTTTTTTGATCCATCGTTCCTCGAAATGGGGGTTGAAATATATTATGTTATCAAAAATCTCTAAACCTTCCCCATATAGTTTTATTCGTTGAAGTTTTTTAAAAATAACAGCGACTATAGTTTCGGCGTACTGCCATCATCAGGCGATGTGAAAGTTAACAGGAAAACGGTAAATTACAAACGTTGAAGACGAATAAGACGAACATGTTGTTTTTTTATTAATTATTAACTGGCCGAAGCCAAGTGAAAAAACCTGAAGGGTGGTTAAAACGGAAAGGTTGTCCTAAGTTTCAAGATGAATTAGCCTTGTTAAGACAACCAACCGGAGGGTTGAATTTGAAAAAAAAAAAAAAAAAAAAAAAAAAAAATTCAACCCTCCGGTTGGTTGTCTTAACAAGGATTGATAATAATTCGTCTTGAAACTTAGGACAACCTTTCCGTTTTAACCACCCTTCAGGTTTTTTCACTTGGCTTCGGCAAGTTAATAATTAAAAAAACAACATGTTCGTCTTATTCGTCTTCAACGTTTGTAATTTACCGTTTTCCTGTTAACTTTCACATCGCCTGATGATGGCAGTACGCCGAAACTATAGTCGCTGATATTTTTAAAAACTTCAACGAATAAAACTATATGGGGAAGGTTTAGAGATTTTTGATAACATAATACCTTCCAAGCAGTCAATACTTGCAAAGTTGCAAAGCCGTCTATTACAAAAAAAAGTAAATATTTTTGGAAAACAAGAAAGGAAAGGAGGAATTGTTTGGAGAGCAGCTATAAACGTAAAATTTGCGCGTAAACATTTGAAATAAACTTAGCCTTGTCCCCATTACTATCTAGGGATTTATCAGAAACTTACTGTTTGTGCTACGTATCAGTAATTTCGTCATGCCACCGAAATCGGTTTATGAAATTCGAAACAACTACGAAATAATGTTTTGGTTGACGAGAAATGAATCCGATCTGGAATGGAATCCGCAGATTCGGCACCCTGGAGGGCAATCAGTACTTTAGGAACCTAAAATCTGGTTACGACAAAATTCTGCAAACGGTACGTGGACATTAAAAATCTGGGTTCTCAACGGACAACTTCTAGATGAATGTAATTGAACTGCAAAATGGCGACGGTCTTGCGGAACTTACAATTTCCAAAGACCACGTCGGTCGTCGAAATACAGCAGAGGGTGGTTTCCTGACAGGTCTCGTCGATACGTTCACCTCTTTGGCGCACTTAACGCACAGCAACTGCTGCTTTCAGGCGAATGTTACCGCGGATATTCACGTGAGGTAAGCGAAAATCTCTGTGCTGATCTAGTTTTCGTTTTTAGCTTCGTGAGGGATATTCCTTTGGGGAAAGTAATACAGATTGAAGCCAAAACGGTTAAGTGCGGACAAAACCTCGCGTTTTTGGAGTGTAGGATAACCGACAAGGAGACGGGGGAACTGTGTGCAAAAGTACGTCATACGAAGTACATGTTGTAGGATGTTGATTAAATTAATTTAACTGACAGATTTCTTGAAATCGATTTTTGAAGCGTGTTAAATTTGATTTTTCGATTTTTTTTTGATTCCATAGTTCAAATTCTATCAGATTGTACCACTTCTTGGTGGATCTATGAAAAGTTGTGCTTTGGTTGAGTCAAGTGTGCTTTTTTTAATTGATAAACATTTTTTACGACGTCACATCTTTATAGTAAAATGATTAGGCTTATATTTGAGAGATTAAAGAGTTTTTTTGTGTGTGGGAGTATATGAAAGGAGGAGAACGTTTTGATATCTCTTCTGTGAGCATAGTTTTGCGTTTATAATTTTTTGGAATACTACAGGCCAGAAGAAAATGTTTCTTGACCTGCGATAATCTTTTTCTCGTCCCACTTTTGGGGACAGAGAGAATCCGCTTTGTTTTTTGCAGGTCGTTATGCTGGCTATACGTAGACAAGGTGCTCAAACGGAAACTTGTACTACAACAAAGGATTATATCCGAACCTCATGAGGTAGAGAGAGAAATCAGATCTAAAAATTTACGCAAATGCCACGAAGGAGCTCAGAGACATTGCAAAAAACCTATCAATGCTATTTTTTACAAATGGAACCACCGTTGGGACAAGCGTGTGCGTTGGAGAGGAGAGCTCTAAAACGTCAAAATAGTGGGTGGGGGGTCACTTATTACCCCAATGCAATACTTCCCTTACTAACGTGCAGTCGGTATTCACAGTCCTACAAACCAACTTAAAAAAAACCGATATTAACCACCACCAAAAATTCCCTCTAACTCAACAGTTACACATTGCAAGGGGTGTTTTGCAGCGCATTAAAACTTTTTAATTGTTTGATTAGTTACACTTATCACTGGACACCCTGTAAATATATCACAACCAAATTCAACTACAAGACGGATTATTTTAATGAAAAATAATCTCTTGGTCGGCACCGTACAGGGTGTCATTCTTATCTGTCATCTAGTATTTTTATATCATAAATTGAGTATGATTACAGCGTTCAGGGGCAACCATGCAGACATGAACAAAAAAATTTCACCCTTAGCTAAATTGAAAATTTCAAGGAAATTGCTTTCTTGTGTGGCACCGATCTACTGCAAGAGGTGCAAGGTGCATTTTATCTCTTTGATTAATTGTGCATAAAAGGTTCACTCACAACCCTGTAGATATGAACATTTAACCCCTAGCCGTTTTAATATTAGGTACCTAATTTTAAAAAAATGTATCCTCTAAATTAGCACTTATACTCTGCAAGGGGCGTTTCATTTACAGAGCATCAAAATTTTTGTTTTTTTAATTGATTATGCTTAAGGGGTTCTCTTACAACCTTGCACCACTAGACGTTTTGATATTACGAAATTTTTTTTAAACTCACGCACTTATCCGTACAATGGGTGTTTATTTAGCCACGCATCAATTTTTTTATTCATTGTGAGTGAACATAAAAATTCAACCCCAGAAATTAGGTATATTTCAGTGACATTTCTCTTGCAGATGTCACTATCAAGGGGTGCAGTTATACCATGCATTTGGTGTTTTTATTTTTTTGTTTGATAAATAAATAAGAAATGAACATAAAAAGGCAATCCCTAGCCCTTTTTAAATTAGGTAAGTTTATTAGTAGTAAAAATTCCTTCTTAGCAGGCACTAGGGGTGTCAACGTATTAAAATTTTTATTTCTTGGATTTATTTATTATTTATTAAGTTTAAGGGGTTCACTAGCAACCCTGTAGATAACGCCGTACCAATTCAACCACAATTTGTAGTCATGAACATAAAAATTCAACCCCTAGCCGTTAAGAAATTACGCATTAGTCCAGAAAACAGAGACAAATATTATATTTTTATTAAAATCCTGTCTAGCACTTATCAACTGCAAGGGTTGTTTCTTCAAAATTGTTAATTCCTGTGGATTACTGGCCAAGCTGTAGACATGAAGATAAGAATTCAACTCTTACCCGTTTTGAAAATTTCGTATCAGCATTGTAATCATAGGCCATTCATATAATAAAATTAATTACTTACGTTAAAAGTAATATAAAGACGACGGTTTATTTTGTCTTTAGGACTACTTTCCCCCGACAAAGCGTTTTCGTGATATTCGCTGTGAAAGTTTTGACATCACCAATAGATATATGCTAGGATATATGTCTTCCATCGCCCTTTGTGAGTACCTTCCTCCGACAGTCTGTTCTTGAGATATAAGGCATTATATACGATCTCGATAAGGAGTCGAAGAGGACGACTATTTATTGTTGGTAGAAATTAATTACTTTCGTTGAGACTTTTCATTAGAGTAGCATGAAGGATAAAGCCCGCTCCCCCCAACCCCCTCTTTTGATAAGGGGCTAGAATGAGGGGCGGTAGTTGATAAAAAACCTCCTTTTGTTAATTAGAATTGTTCCGTCTCTAACGTTTTGAAGGATACGTAGAATTCCAAAGAATTTTAGTAATTGAAGAATACGGAATATCAAAAATCAAATTTGAACATGTGAAGAACTGGACCAACATGAAGGGATCGAATCTGCTGAAATCGATGAAGGAATGTAGGAATAGGAATTACCATCTGAGGAAATTGGAAGAAAGTGAATATGAAAAATGCATTTAAGGATTTCGAGCAATCTTAATAACTAAAAAAACTTGAAAGTCAAAGGAATTTGATAAATCAAAGAATCCAGAGCGATGTAAGACCATATACCGAATACGCGCCCTGTGAAGGATCCAAGTAGGGGTAGAAGAATCTTAAACTTACTCTTAATCATATTTTGAAAACTCTAGCAGAGATGTGGAAGAATGCGAAAGAAGTGAAGGTGGTGTTTTAAGAGATTTTGAAAAACTTGAAGAAATGGACGAATTGGAAAAATGCAAATCTTCCGAACTCACTTTAGATTCCGTGATCGTGAAATACGATTACATAAATTTAATTCTTCAAATCCGTGCTTTAATTTTAAGATATTCGAGGATTGGTAGAATCTTAATTATTAATTGAGGTTGTGAAAACTTGAGAAATTTGAGCAATACGAAGAAATGTAGTTTGAAGAATTCAAAGAAGACGAAAGAACTGAAATAGAAAATATCCGAAACATCTGAAGGATCGCAAAAATCAGAAGGGTCCAGACCTGGGTCCAGATAATTGTGGCAAATGAAAGAATCCGAACAATGGAGAGAATGCGACAACTACGAAAGTAAAGAATTAGACGAACCTGAAGATTTCTAAAAAAGTACAGGGTACAGGTGGTTCGAAGTATCCGAAGCATCCGACAAGTCCAAATAACCTGAACTCTCAAGGAATCGAAGAAAGAGAAGAATTCGATCAATTTTAAGTAAATAAAGTATCTGATGGACCTAAAGATGGGAAATACTAAGAGAACTAAACAGGTAATTTAAATACCACGAAAAACTTAAGGGATTTAAAGAATATGAAACTGAATGGGAAGCATATTAAAAAGTAGAATTAAAATGGCCTAAAAAATCTTAAGAAACTAAAAACGATCAAGAATAATTCGAAGAATGAGACGAATCCAAATAATCGAAACAGGTGAATAAGAAGAAGGTGAGGGAACAGAAAGATTTAAAAAGACTCGAATACTCTCAAGAGTAAAGGAAGCCGAAGGGCGAAATGGAAAAATATGTAATGGGACATTGAAGAGTATGGAGCGTACGAAGAATTCAAGTAGTTCAATCTAAGAAATTTAAAAATCTGTTGGATCTAAAGGATTTGAAAGATTAAAAAATGGACGAATCTCAAGCTTCAGATTGAACATCTTGGCTGATTTCAATAATAAGAAGAATCTAACACTCTGGATCCCAAGAATTTGAGTGATCTGAAGACTTGAAGGCATAATGTACTAGTTCGAGGATTTAATAAAATAAACGTGTCACTTGATAAGGGGTGCATATTATAATTTACGGTAGGTGGAGGTGCCGGAATGAATGGAAGTGATTTTTGATATTTTATCAAAATAATCAATTTGCTAAATGCTCTTTCTTTGATTAAACAAAAGCCCAAGTTTTATGAACATATTATTTAAACAATAGCCACCCTCCTTACAAATAAGCAGTTTTCCAATAAAATTTTCAATCGGGGGTACGTGATGTTTAAAATATATGAAAGCAGTTCTACGAAAAAGGACTGAGGCCAGTCATGATTTGTGCTACTTATTGACTTTGCAGTAATCTAGCAGGCTTTTCAACCCGAAATTAATTGGCAGAGTTATTCATTGAAAAAACCAAAATTACTACAACTATTTCATTAGAATAGCGGTATACATGTACGCACAAAAAAGGCATTTCTATAAGTATTACGTAGTCATGCTTCCTTTACGAACTACATATTTTAATGTGAGCACACGGTACCCACCTATAAAGTTCAAAGTCACGTACAAACTCGAACACAAAGCAACAAATAACGTTTTAAATGAAACGTACGCGATAATTCTGAATGGTAACGTTACTCTCGAGCACTTTTCTACTTGAAAAAAAAACGTACCTGTAATTCTCATGCCAACTGCTTAAATTTTCGGCCATTTTGTTGTTGGATGAGTGTCGATTCCACACCGCGGACTGTTGGGTTCCTACCCCGTGTTGGTTGGGTGATATTTGCGACATGTATCCGAGCTGATTTGTGGGGTTCAGCACGTTGGGCTCGATCGATGTGGAATTGTAGGTGGTGTACGAGGGGGTGCTTGTCGCGGTCGTGTTGGTGGTAGTCGAAGAATGCGAAAGGGTGCTCGGCGGCGTAAGGGTTGACGCGCCGAGGGCGTACGACTGCTGCGGCCACGACGCCTGATTAAACGCGGGGTCGGAGTACTGATGCTGAACGGGAAAGGCGGATTGGAGGGACATCGTGTTAAACGCGTTTAATTGTTGCGAATTTAATTGTTTACGTAATCGCGCCCTTCGATTCGAAAACCAAACCTGAACGCGCGCCTCGGTCAGCTTGGTTTTCTGTGCGAGCTCCTCGCGCGTGTACACGTCCGGGTATTGAGTCCTGCCGAAAGCCCTTTCGAGGGCTTCCAATTGTTCACCGGTGAACGTTGTCCTGGAGCGGCGTTGTTTTCTTTTTAGCGGGATTCCTGGTTCAGATTCGGTGTCGCTTTCGTCTCCGGAACAGTTTGGACCTAGAAAAATTAGAAAATGTTATATTGAGACAGTAATCCTTCTTGGGATTAGTAATTAGTCGTATAGATTATAGTGGCAGTTATCAAACTTTCATACTTCAGGGCGCCCTTCATATATAATATATTAAACCATATCAATGTCCCCCTCCCCCTCCCTTCAATAACCAAAAATCAACCCGCGGTCTAGAAGCTAAAAATATAGAACTCGAAGAAGTACCAGAAGAGTAAACGCTCGGGAAGGCAAATGCTGTAGTAGGTGCTTTAGACCTTTTAGAGCTTTGTAGACTCATTCATTACACGTGTGTAGCCAGTTTTAGAAACTACATACGAAGAGCGATTTGGAAAGAGCTTACTGCCTTGAAACATAGATAATGCTTTAGACAGGGCTTTGAAAAAATATTTAAAAATCTTTGGAGAGGAGATTTGGAAAGGGCCAATACAATTTGGGAAATACGCCAGATGACTCTAGAAAGACTTTAAATATTTCTGAAAAGAGATTTTAAAGGACTAGGAAACCTCAGGTTTCTCGAGAGCATTCTGACATTTTCTGGCGTATCTTTAAGGATTGGAAGTCCTCCAGAATTTCTCATTGCTTATTTAACGATTTTTATATTCGTAATAAAATGTTTCTTCGCTTACATACCTTTAAAACGCATTTTCATCGCCTTTTCACGCCTTTTTTGGCCCATTTCTCTGAGCTGAAGAATGAAATCTGGGCATACAAAAAAAAACCGCTAAGGACCTAGGCGGTATTTCACTTTGGAAACCTTTTTATTGTCTCGAAAGCCAATTCGTTGCACTACAAGGCATTGATACACTTCGGAAAGCATTTAGCACCCTCTAAACTGTTTTCTAAGCCTTACCACAGATTTTGGATTCTTTGGATCTTCTGGAATTTTCGAGAGCAATTCAGGTTAGAAACGCTGCTGGCGGAAAGTTCGTTTTCTCTTATGTAAAAGGCGGCGAACGGCCACGTACCAAGTCACGTTTTCAAGAATACGACATTTTAAGGTGAACCACGTCCACTTTCCGGAGAATTTCCCCTCCCAGAAATTCAAGAATACCGACCCAGCGAGAGTTGCATGAAGAGAAGTTTAAAAAGGACAAAGGGACAGGGAATGTACGTTCGAACTCGCAGATCAGAAATCTCTGGGATTTAGTAACCCTTGAAGATGAGCTAGAAATCGTTGCATGAGCTTTCAAGAGTCTGTAATGAGTCGGAAAATATCTGGGAGAGAAGTAGTGTGTTCTGTAAAGGTAATAAGAAGTTTGGGAAGGTACTTATCGGTGTTCAAAATAGTAGCGCTTCAGAGTAGCAAGCTACTAAGTTTAAAAGCTCTGCATAAGTTCTCAAAGGTCTCTGTGAGGGTAGTGGGGTGTTCTGGAAAGCACCTAGAAAGTTCTCAATTGCTCTGTAAAAAAGTTCAAAGTTACTCGTAATCTTGGCACAGATTACGGGTAATTTTGAAGTTCATTATCGAGCCACATATTTACAACCATGGATCTTTTTCAGTTATGCTGTGAAAACCTGCTCAGAACTCTGCTTTGAAATTTTGTAGTGTTTTCCACCAGAGACACTTTTGATTTTTCTGGAGCTGTCTTATTTCATAAATCCCTAGGGACTTTCTAACCTAGATGAATCAAGAAAGATCAAAAAAGTTCTGGAAGAACACGCAAAGATGCATACAATGATTTTGAAATGCCTTAGAAGGTTTTACAGAACAATAGTGGAAGAAACCAGAAAAAATGTCAGTTTTGCGAAGAAGCGCTTAAATTCACGTTCAATTCTTAATTTCTTTTTCAATTTCTCTTTCAATCAAGATCTCGGTCTCCATTTATTTTCCTCAAAGTCCCATACAATCCTTCGTAAGTTCATTTCAAGTTCCATCAGGTCTTCCTAAGACTCCATGAGCTTTTAGAAAAGCTCTTTATAAGCCTCCCAGGTTAATTTCCCCATAAGCCATTGTCTGTTATAATCTGTTATCAAGCTTCCCTAAATATATATTTCATCTTTCCCATCAAATACCGCTCACTAAATTCCCTTTTAAATTTTATTTGAGTCCCCCCTCATGCACCTTTGATCATCCCCGTAAAGTCTCTTTAAATTTATATGAAATCTTTCTCAGGCTCTCTTCCATTTATCTTCGTGTTCCCTTTGGATCTTCTTCCCTCACGTTGGCATCCCATTATTTTGAGATTCATCTTGAAGTTTTTTTATTTCTTTTTAGACTTTCCTCAAATCTTGACATCTCTCTAAGAAAATCCTCTCGAACAAAAACACAAAAAAAAAAAAAACCTCGCATCTTCGTTAGAAATCCACCGAAACAGTTGTTGACGGACCGAAAACTGTGAATTCTTATTTTCCCAGTGGATAAGCACGGGCAAACTTGTTCGGCTTCACTTAGAGTTTGTGCTCTTTTTTCGTCTTAGTTCTTTTCTCTTCATCGTATGGTCTGTTTGGATTTTACCCGTGTAGGGTCGGGAAAGAATAACCCTACTGCAGAGACACTGCATGTCGTAAGAGGCGACTAACCAACTGTGGGTTGGCCCACGATAGATTTTTAAGGAGGTTTAGGGTGCCCAGTCTGATATGTTGTTTGAGAGGAATGCGTCGGAACAACTTCATACTGATTATGGTTCGTTATCTAGATTTAGTCATTTGAGGTTTTTTTTGCCGTAAATATGAAGACAGGGAATGAATCTGTGCGCAGGATGTGAGAAGGTGTTTTCTGACCACCGAAGAATTTTTTTGTGTTAACCCACAAAGATTATTTTAAGAGGACCGGATTACCTTCCATAAAGGAAGGAAATAATCGAACCCATACGGTATGTTTGAGGTATCTCACCTTCTTCGCAATTTTTTTCGTAATCTGTTGGCTAACGCATGGCACTTTAACTACTAGTTTGCGTTATAAACCTAATTTAAATAACTGACAACTGTAAATAATAAAATCGCAGGTCGTTATATAGTATCTACGCTTTAATTACGATAATATTAAATCGCTCTTTATTACTTACTAATAATACCTGCAGAACTATAAACGAGCTATGCAAATTTGATAAAAAATTTCACCGCGCCGTTTAGGTTTATGTATTACTCGTATATTTTATAAACGCTTGGATTACTGACTGCCTTAAAGAGCACTATAACTTGTATATCATTTGAACAGTTCTCTCTCATTGATGTAGTGCATAAACAGCCTTTTTTTTTATGACATTTCACTATTCTGGTGCATAATACATTTCCTTTTACCCTTCTTTTGTATTTTATTCTATCGTTCAAAATAAAGTAGAGAGCAATTTGGTTAATAGAAATTTCATTTCCAGTGCTGGAATTTCCTTAGCAAAAAAAGAAAAATTCAATTACCATTTCCGAAAAATCATATTAAAGCAAAGAAGGGCTTCGCCCATAACCCTCATCCCTTTCACATGGTACCCCCGGGGTGATTTTCCCTTTAGTAACCCTATGCTCTTTTTTGAGAAAACATCATCAGATCTTCTTCTAAGAAGTATTGTAGAGAACGTACCACCGGGTGGTCCTCAGCAAAGGAAGATTTAATGACAATTTCCGCAAAATTATATGAAAAGTATTAAAGGACTCGTAACCCTTTCCCATAACTATCATCCCTTTCTCATGGTACTCTCGTAGTTCTTGGTTCTAAATAATTCAAAATTTACACTTGTCTACAGCTCAAATGGCAATAGGTGGTCAAGTTTGTCGAATTTTGTATTTTATTTTATTTTATTGTTGGTCTTTATTTTTCAGCGGGCGCGGTTTCAGCCAAGGTTACTCTACCAACCGAACCCACCATAAATTTACAAATATCCACGCCTGAACCTGGATTCTAACTAGAGACCTTTATTACCGCAGTCGAAATTTAAAGATGATATATTTATTTCATTATTCTGTAACTAAAAAAGTCAAAAATTCCCTTGTTTACTGCTAATTTGGCAATAGGAGTACGAATTTTGTGGAAAAAATATTTGTTTTGCTTCTCTTTGCAACGCAGTCTTTCTTAGATAGTTGCGCGTATAAAATGCAATACATTACAGAATACAGTAAAAATCTTCACTATACACTGTGTGCAAAATAAGGATGTCCATCATGGGGGTCTTCGAAACAATAAAAGATACGAAGCTGGTCAAATTAGAGAAAAGATGTGCAATTATGCAATATGCTTTAAATAAAACTAGAAAATTTCGATTACTTCCGAAGAGATGCCAGACAAACCGAAATTTGTCAATTTCGTTTTGATTTTTTTATGTTACTTGCATAGATACAAAAAAATTAAAAATACTTTCTCATTCAATGCAACGTTTCCTTTCGGAGAAATCACCATCAACTTTAAAAAGTTATTCTCGATTACTTCGAACTCTGTTTTCTTAGAAATTCAAGAAGATTCCCAGATCGTCCAGAAAATTTCTAGTAAAGTAAATAGGAAGGAAGGGGTTTACGTTTAGCGATCGCGATTTACCTGCACAATTATTGGTCAGCTAATACAACGATGAGTAATCAGGCCGTCAAATTTATTAAATTTAAGAAACAAGTTTCAATTGATAACGATTAAACAGTATTTCTTACCAGTTTGGTTGTGATCGTGTTTCGGGGTGGATTATATCGATATCGTACAGTTTGATCTCACTAATTTTTGCAATATTAATTTATTAACCATTTTAGTGAATTTGTGCTGGGAAAGTGATCAACACTATTACATTATTTTGATACCATGTTCAACGATTCAACGACAAAAGTATGGAAATTTTAAGGTAACAGGTACAGATTACTCTAAAAAAAGTGATCTATTTGCAATTTTTAGGTCGTTATGAGATTTGGCTCAGCAACACTGATGGCCTCCTTCTGGGTATTTGCGTATGCCTGTACGTTTGCGAGATTTCGTGAGGTGGGGTATGTATTAAGCTTATAGCCATGGTCATACGTGTCAGAAGTTTATTTTGCGTAGAATTCCTGTTTATGAATTTTGTGACTCACGCAGTCGTGG